CTTTGTACAGGCTTCCCAGTCACACAGCTGTCCTCAACCGCAAGAATATTCTGATTCTTGCCACAGGGATCAGCTGTCTGGACCTTATAAGACATGTGAATGATGCCTAACAGACAGATCTCGCTCTCTCAAAGCCCCTTGTAATAGTTACATAATGAGAACAATGTAATGGATACTTCAAGAGTCTATACATGCCTAAATGGGCTGATTTCCCAACCTGGAAATGAAAAAACAAGATCCAATGTGGAGCTGTTTCTTCCTTTACAGTAAATTCCTTTTTGCCACTAGATGTCTTCAGTGTTCTGGGTTGAACGACACCCAGCATCATTCAACCCGGAAGACTGAGTGCAAGGCGTCATGGACCAGCCCCCCAGGGGTCTGGAGGTGGGCTTTAAAGAAGAACGAGTGATCATTTGATTTGTTATACTCTTATTAGTCACTCTTAAAGCTGTAAATCTGTGCAGGCTTACTTAGGAAAGATATATATTTATATATTGCCCACTGTAATATCTAAATTATTCATTTGTACTTTGATTCTGACATTCCAGCTTGGGAATCACCTGAGGCATGTTTAATGAAGGACAGAAGGAGCCATTTTGCCCCCTCTATGTAAGTACACCCAGAGCCCAGGACTAAAGAGCAGAAAAACTTTTGTCCTAGTGTACTAGCAGTTCAATTTTAGGTGTATAGAGCCAGAGTGGAGGAGCTGTAAGTACAGAGTATGCTATATAACATCAACAATAAGGCTAAAACTGTGAAAGGACAGAGGTATTGAGGACCTAGATGGATGGAATAGACAGGCAGTGCAGCTTTCTGGAACTTTTAATTATACTAGAGAATGTGTTACTGACAGTCAGTACCATGATATGTGTCCCCCTTGCAGCCCTACCTCCTAGGCTACGGCCTATATTGTCCATGCAAAAATGCATCCCTACTCAGTCCTTAGAAGAGACCTCTGTCGGTGGCCATAGGCATTCGTAAATTATTACTACTAGATTAGAAGAGCTTTCAGGTTCCACTTAAAGATATGACATGGCGCACTAATGGCATTAATTAGAAAATAGAAGAATCACAAGGTTCAGGTCATTGCCGCCGGTGCACACACTTGTAGTACTTCTTATAGATAACCTGTAACCTTTCTCCCGTCACTCCATATCACAAGGAACCACCTGCGCTCTTCCTGCCTTCACTTTCACTATGAGTTTAACCTTCAGCAAATGGATTTTCAACCCTGAGATTCAGGAAGCTGCAGGCCAGGAATGTTTGTTCCTTTTTCTGTAGCCACAAAGGGAACATTTAACTCCTTCAGTACTGCTTACAGAACAACATACACTTCTATATATACACTAATGCTTGCAGTTTTGGTTCCTTTTTTGATCAACTTACCATAGTCTGCCCATTTACTCATACTGGGTAAAGGAAGAGGTTCACCATGAACAGGCTTCACATGCCTCACAAGTTTGCATAAGAAAGTCAAAAGGTACACATGATTATGCACATATCCCTACCCCATGTAACTGCCCTCAAGCTGGTGATAGGCTGTTTAGGCACTGATCTTTGCCATGAAGGGACAGAGGGGACTGTTACATATCCCCCCACCTGGACCCAGGATGAGGTTGGTCAAGGAGTACAGTGACCAGCATGAGCAAAGCACTAATTTGTTTTAAAGTAATCATGTACAGTGACAAATTATTTGTCTGCCCTTGCTTAACTCCTTCTGAAAATGATGGTTTTCTGGCTGACTCTGGCTTGGATACTATACAATCAGCAAAACGCATGCTCCCTGCTGCCTGGAGAGCTATAGGTGTGACTCAGAAGTGGGTGTGTTCGACCTCTGCACAGAGACCATTGCTTCTCCACAGAGAGCTAGGGTGCTTCTCTACATCATGCTGGCATAGAACAGGCCTTACTTCTTTTCTACAGCTGTGGCTGCTTTACAAAGAAAATAAACTGTAAGGATTTAAACACTTTTTGTTTTCATATGACTGCAATGTATTTAGTTGATTAAAAATGTTTCTCTTGGCTTAACCTTATTTTTTTTAGATTTGAATAGAGTGGTGAAGAGTTGGACTTTCTGTCAAGTTTTTATTGCTGTCTTTCTCCTTGACAATGGTTACCAGTAAAAACTGAGGGAAAATGCACAATTTTAGAGTTGGCCCCAGAACAAGAGATGAGGGGAAATCTTCCAATGGGGACACCTGTTTCGGGGACAACAGTCTAAGACAGGGGGCGCCCGCAATTTTTCGTCTGGAGATCTACTTTTCAAATGACGAGCTCAATGAGATCTACCAAGGAAAAAACACCTGCATTCAGGGGCGGAAGGGGGCGTGGCAGTGTATTGAAGTTAAGCGGCCCTCTCTTTTCTCTCTCCTTGCGCTCTCTCCTCTCTTTCTCCCCTGTTTCTATCTGCTGTCTCTTCTCTCTCTCTGCTGTCTCTTCTCTCACTTTCTCTGCTGTCTCTCCCCTGTCTGTCTTTTCTTACCTCCACTGCAGCAGCTTCCCAAGTCTCCTCTCCTCTCTCCTTCCTGTCTGCAACATCTGCCACATTCAGCCGCACGAGTACCGCGAGAGGACAGGACACAGGTCAGTGAGCCGATCGGGATCTACCAGTTTTTGCTTTGCGATCTACTGGTAGATCGTGATCTACCTAATGGGCACCCCTGGTCTAAGAGAATAATTCATTTACTTTTGGGAGATTTCAACTAACATCCTATTGCATCTCCAGGACAAAAAAAGAAAGGAATTTTCCTCAGTGGTACACAGACAGCAAAAAAATAACATGATAGGGGTTTCAACCCTTCCCTACTCTGTCCAAAATTTTACATACGCTATACATATGCTTTAAACTGGAAAATTTGTTCGGCTTTAAAGAGAATCTGTCAGGAATACTGTTCCCTGGGTCAGTGAAAGCACTGAACTCTTTGGATGTTATAACAGTTATGAGAAAAGTATTTCCAAAGGGATAGCTCAGCAATGTTCACCTATATATTTTCTCAGCACAGGTTTCCTTCTTCTATATAACAGCAGCTTCATCCCTTGCAGATAGAGATAAAGAAAGACATTTACTGCGGGCAGTTATTACTGATAACCAGGCATGGCAATCAGCTTGCTCCACTCACTGCTCTGCTGGGTACAGGAAGACTTGCAATGAATTCATGAATACATTCTTATTTCACACTTAGGACTTATATACACTGTATATCCTTCTAACAGCACAGGAAGCACTGCTGCGATTCCATTTATACGGCCAAAAAGATTCTATAGAATGTAATTTCCAGCATTCATACATACTTGTGCTTTTATTTGGTACTTGCACCTTGACCCCAAAACTCAGAAAACATTGGCATTGGATGAAGTCCAGAGGAAGACAGCATGAGCAGCCGTACAAAAACACAATCGTTCACCCAATAATACAAATCATGCTAAGGCTAGCCATACATGCATTGATTTCTCCCATTCAACCCATGTGCTGAACATGCTAAACAGTGTAGATGGGGGAATCTCCTTTGCCAGCTATTGTATTCTGACAGCTGGCAATATTTTTTAGTTGTCTATTGGATAGATGTGTGATGAGCTTAATGGGTTAGTCCACCCACAACTGATATCTCATAATTAAATTACCGGGGGAAAAATGTGTGTGCGTCTTATGGAGCGAATCCCTATTGCCCGACAACATGCAGTTTCGGGCGCCGTGCGAGTAGTTTTTTTGTATATTTAGCCCTGCTCCTGACAAGCAGAGCTAAATGTACAGTGGGAGCCGCTGCTCATTTAATACAAGTGATCTAATCAGATCACTTGTATCAAATCGAGTGACGGCGGAGATCGTGTCCGGGCCCCC